AGCACTGTAGAAGCGTTCCTTTTTCTCCACATCCTTGCCAGCATCTGTTGTTGTTTTGTTAATGCTGGCCATTCCTCCTAGGGTTAGGTGGTATCTCAGTGTGGTTTTGCTTTGCATTTCTCTGATGATGAGTGAGGCTGAACACTTTTTCATGTGTCTGTTGGCTGCCCGTACATCTCTTGAGAAGTGTCTATTCATGTCTTTTGCCCACTTTTTAATGGACTGTTTGTTGTTTTTCTTTTGGCATGTTTGAGTTCCTTGTGGCTCTTAGATGTTAAGCCTTTGTCAGATATACAGTTGGCAGATATTTTTTCCCATTCTGTGGGCTGTCTCCCCACACTCTTGATGGTTTCTTTGGTTTTAAAGAAACTTGTCAGTTTGGTGAGGTCCCTCTTGTTTATCTTATCTCTTATGGTATGGGCACTTGGGGCTTTGATCAGGAATTGGTTGTTCGTTTCAATTGCCATAAAGGTGTCTCTTATATTTTCTAAGATTCTTATAGTTTTGGGTTTTACATTTAGGTCTTTGATCCACTTAGAGTTAATTTTTGTGTATGGTGATACGTAGGGGTCCTGTTTCAATCTTCTGCATGTGATCAGTTAGTTTTCCCAGCACCACTTATTGAATAGGTTCTCCTCTTGCCAGTGGTAGTTGTTAGAGCTTTGTCAAAGATGAGTTGGTTGACAAATTGAGTCTTTGCTTCCAGAATTTCTATCCTTTTCCATTGGTCCATATGCCTGTTCTTGTACCAATATCAAACTGTTTTGATCATTGTAGCCTTATAGTAAAGTTTGAAGTCTGGAAGTATGATACCTCCTGCTTTATTTCTTTTGCTAAGGATTGTTTTGGCTATTCGTGGTCATTTATGTTTCCATATGAATTTCTGTATTGTCATTTCCAGGTCTGAGAAGAATGCTGTTGGTAATTTAATGGGTATTGCATTGAATCTGTAGATTGCCTTTGGTAGGATGGACATTTAACAATGTTGAGTCTTCCTATCCATGAACATGGAATATTTTTCCATTTGTTTGTGTCTTCTTGGATTTCTTTGAACAGTGTTTTGTAGTTCTCATTGTAAAGGTCTTTCACTTCTCTGGTTAGGAAGATGCTGAGGTATTTCAGTTTTTTGTGGCTACTGTGAATGGGACTGTGCTTTTTATTTGGTTCTCCACCTGCTTGTTGTTGGTGTATGAGAATGCAACTATCTTTTGCATATTTATTTTGTACCTGAGACTTTGCCAAAGTCCCTTATCAGTGCAAGCAGGTTTTTGACAGATTCTCTTGGATTTTCAAGGTATAGGATCATATCATCAGCAAAGAGGGATAACTTGACCTCTTCTTTTCCTATTAGTATACCCCTGATTTCCTTCCCCTTTCTAATTGCTCTAGTTAGGACTTCCAACACAATGTTGAACAAGAAGGGTGAGAGTGGGTAGCCTTGTCTTGTTCCAGTTTTTAGGGGAAATGTCTCCAGTTTTTGTCCATTTAGCAATATGCTAGCTGTGTAAATAGATGGCACTTACTATTTTGAGGTGTGTTTCTTCTATACCTAGGTTTTGAGGGTTTTACTCAAGAAGGGATACTAGATTTTATCAAAAGCTTTTTCTGCATTTAATGATATAATCATGTAGTTCTTGTTTTTATATCTGTTGATGTTTTTAATTACATTTATGGCCTTGCAGGTGTTGAACCAGTCCTGCATCCTGGGGATGGAGGCTACTTGGTCATGGTGGATACATTTTGAGATCCGATTTGCTAGAATCTTGTTGAGGATTTTTGCATCTATGTTCATAAGGGATATTGGCTTGTAGTTCTCTTTTTTGTTGAACCTTTACCCAGTTTATGTATCAGTGTGATATTAACTTTGTAAAATGATTTGGGGAGTATTCCGTCTTTCTCAATTGCCTGGAATACTTCCAATAGGATTGGTATCAGCCCCTCCTTGTTTGTTTTGTAGAGCTCTGCTGGAAAATCATCTGGTCTAGGGCTTTTTTTTTTAATGTAGGTAGTTTCTTATGACAGAGTCATAATAAATACATAATAATATACAACTAAAATTTATTGACTGCTTATTGTGCCCCATGCATACCTTTAAAAGAGTTAGTTTCACTACAGTTTACTGGTTATCTACTATACACCAGCCACAGTGATAGGCATTTTATATACAATAACTTTAATTCTCACAGTAACTCTACCTTCTCTTAAAGGTAGATTTTTATCACCAATATTTTAAAGATGAAGAAACTAGGCTTAGAAAGGACAGCTGACTTTCCACGGTCATTCAGCTAGATATGATTGAGGCGTTATTTGAATCTAGATTGCATGATTGCAAAGCCATTGCTTTTTAAATTGAATGTACTTTCTATTAATAACAAATAATCTAAGAGTTAAAATGCTTTTTCTAGTACTTAACTTCATTTGCAGAAAATAATTTATTCTCCTCAAAAAAGTCATACTGTAAGAAATTATGCTGCTTCTCTGGTGTCTAGAAAATACCTATCAATAATCTGTTATTAAAGATTTGGAAATGTAAAATTGTAAAGGCATGTGAAAATTAATTTTTATTTAATGCTTATTAAACAACTCAAATTATTTTAATCATGACATAAAATACACCTTAATTCCCTCCCAGTGTCTAATGTTAATTGCATCTTAGTATGTTTAGGTGGCTGTAACAAAATATAAGGTTTATGAGCAACAGAAAATTTGATCACTTGGTGAAGGTGGGTCTGCAAGGTTTCTCCACCATAAAATGATCTTTCCTGTTAGCGACTGTGTATATGGAGACACTTTAAGATTATGAAAACACCCCACTTCTCCTGGGACTTGACCCACTGATATTTGCACCCCCCAGTGGGTCTTACTGACCACAGTGACCACAGTGATGCTTGCTCCATTGTTATTTCCTATGTTCCCTTTTCCTCCTATGTCCATCAACTGTAACTCCTTTGTAAGAAAGAGCTGGCCCTTCCCCCTGTTTATTTATTTATTCAATGTTTAGTTTACATAAAAAAATAAGCAACAGAAATTTATTTCTCACAATTTTGGAGGTTGGGAATTTCAAGATCAAGGTGCCAACAGATTTGGTATTTGACAAAGGTCTACTTTCTTGTTCATGGATGTCACCTTCTCACTGTGTTCTCACATGGTGGAAGGAGCAAATGAACTCTCTTGGGCCTCTTTTATAAGCACACTAATCTCTGACCTAATCACCTCCAAGTCTTCACCTCCTGCTACCACACTTTATGGTTAGGATTTCAAGATATGGAACAAACATTTAAGCCATAGCAACATTATAACAGCTTAACACATTACACAGATCCTTTTCAATGTAATACCTTTTCAATGTAAATAAAATATAGTGTTTTCTTTTGTCTCAAAGTAGTAAGGCAGGGCACTAAACCAAACTATACATTTGGAAAAATTTTCCCTTTACTTCTTTAATTCAAATATCTCCTTCTTGCTCTATTTTGAGGGACTTAAATTCAAATCAGAAGCTGCTAACTTCTGATTATAGCAACAAAACCAGAACTAATTTGAATAGAATGTCAGTTTTTCTTGACAATAAGTAAAAATCAATTTTTGATAGAAGCTAGTACATCTCAGGAAGGAGAATGTCCTCCATTTGGTGTTGAACAAAAATAGTACTTCTCTGTCACTATTAGGAAATGCACGAAAAGTTTTGTCAAGTTAGGGGATACAACAAGAAAAAAATACAATTAAAGGGAAAAGATGGGTAGTCTGTGACATGTAATGAATATCAGAAATCTGTAAAATGATTATAATATCAATAAAGGAGAAAGGTTCAAGGAGTAATGTCAAAAAGAATGAGAAATAAGAAAAATACTACATAACTATTATTTTCAACATAACTTATTAATCCCCCCCTTTATAAAAAATTGGAATGACCCTTTCCCATCAGTCCATTTTCCCTTTCCTTCTTTGAAACTCAATGTAAATTTTAGGTAAACCTAGCCATGCTACAGATCAAACTATATGCAGTTATATTTTTTAGGTTAAGAAATGGCCATATATTGGCAATCAAATACAGTTTAACCAGGAGTTATTCCTTGATTTTATGTGCTATCAATATTGAAGTGTAGACATTTTGCAATTAAAAAAGTGAGACACATTAGATCACACTACTTGTTAGTGTGAGGCTAATATTTTTACCTTAACCTGTATAATGTCAAAGCTTATACTGTTTTTACTGTTGTACTGAATATTTATTAAATGGAACATGTGTATGTCTATAGATAGCAAGAACAATGCCATATCAGCAGTGCTCAGTAACAATTGAATAAATGAACAGATGAATGAATGTGTTCAACCATTTAACAAATGTGCATTTATTCTTCCACAGATGATTGTTAAAGTAGGTAAAAAAAAGACAACATAAATATTACATGAAGAATTATAGAAGTAGTTTTCTATTTGGTTGTGGCTTGCATACTCTGTTTTATAAATCACTTAACTCTATTATTGAAATCTTAGTATAAGTAAGATTTGTTACTGGATATACGAGAAGGATCTCATTTTAACAGTTTAACACATTACACAGATTCTTGGTATAATTCTTTTGAAAGAACATAAAGTGGTCATTGCTTTCACTTTTCAAGGCAAGCCTTTTGAAATGTGTTCAAAAACCTGCAGTTGTTGGTCTCCAAACCTGAAATTGAATTCCTCCTTCCGTAGTAAAAGTAAATTTAGGTAAAAATTACCCACAAAATTACTAGTTATGGTCCCTGTAAAAACCAGATACAGTGACTGTAACCATAAGTCATAGACTTCCTGCTGCCATTTCTAGCCAGATTAAAGAGGACACTTGAATTTCAACTCACCCCTGCTGATCAGGGTAAGGGGATTCATGTACTTTAAAATCATCATCAGCCGGAAACTGGGGACTGAAAAAAAGTTGTCTTGGAGTGGAAATCTTATTAAGACTTGTGAGAAAGGTGTATCTTCTATCATGCCTGATGTCTTGATATTTGTTTTCCAAGGGTCCACCTGGTCCATCAGGTATCCCAGGTCCAGCAGGAAAGAGAGGTCCACGGGTGAGTAGATGGCTACATTTCCTGCTGGCTGTTAGAATGAGTAAATCTGCAGTGTGTTTTTTTCTGTTATTGTACAGTATGTTTTTCTTTTGGAAATCTGCCTGGATCTTCAAACTTAGCCCTATCTTTGCCAATTCATGAGACGCTTAAGAACACGTACAGCCTTGTTTGCATGTAAACACCCAGCCAAAGACATGCCCAAGAAAGATCATGAAATTGGTAAATTAGTGGCTGTTCTGGTGCTACTTGTAACATTATTCTTAGTTATAAAGTGATCTCAATAGTCCAGGGTGAGGTTCATTTGTTTTGGGAAATGAAGAGGAGTGGGCTGCTTTAAAACAGTACATTCCTGGATTGCATAGTGGAAAATACTGGAGCTATTGACTAGGAAAAAAAAAAAAATTGCCCTGAGGAAAAAAGCTTCCTTAAGGATCAGCAGTAGTTTCTCACATTACACAAGTCCAACAATTTATTACTAAGTTAGAATTAGTTTCTTTCAAACCTAGTTTTAAAAAAATGTGGACATTTTTCTAAAGAAAGTCTTTCTTCAATGAATTAGAAAGAATTACGTGTTTTAAGACAAATGCAAGTGCCTTTAATATAATCTACTTTTTATTCTGATTTTTATTTATCATACAAACAATATGAAGAAAATAACTAAAATATTCTTTTGTTATCCACATTCACAGCAAACTCTTGTCCATTTAAGACATAGATGAATTCTCACTGGGCTCTCGTTGTTCAGCATTTAAAAAAATTTCTGTAGAGTTGATGACCTGTCACATTCCTCCCACGGTCCCATCAACACCCTGTTCCATCTCCTCTAGTCCATGAATCATTCCAGTTCTCTAACCTCTCTGTAAAGAGATGTGGGATCCTACTTTTCTGAGGGATTGGGTTCATCTTTGCACTAATTCTAGTCCCACTCCACTGTTAAGGCTGTTCATATCCCAACAGCGTGACCTCCAGGTTCTGACTCTCCTTCTATTCTCATAATACATTAGTTTCTTTCCCTAATTTCCTTTTATTTTTCACTTATTTGTCCAATCCTCCATCCCTTAAGGAAGGATCAGTATTCTTCTCAAGGCAAATTATTTCCCTTGTGTTCCTAATTTTATCTCCTTCAATCAATTATTTAAGAGTTGTTAATTCACATTTTTTTCCTTCCCTAAATTTTATACCATTTAGCAACAGCCAATAAGTTGTCTTTCTTTTGAAAGTCTCAGACTTTTACTGATACTAACTTTTCTAAGTTATTGTCCTGTCTTACTGTTGCACTACTGCTCTTTGTGAAATAATATTTTATAGTCATTGTCTTTGCTTTTACATCAACTCATTCATTAATTCCCATAATTTTTTTCCATCCACTGTATTACAATGTACATTAGGAAGGTTATCAATGACATGTTATAAAATAGTGTTTTCTTTACTTTTCATCATGCTAGACATGTCTTCAGTATTTGCATCTTTCTGAAACATTCTGCTCTCTTAATTCAGAACTGAAGAGACAGACACATAAATAATTATTTTATTTTTTATTTTTTTGAGTTGGAGTCTCACTCTGTCGCCCAGACTGGTGGCCGCTCCCGGTCACCACAGCCTCGACCTGCTGGGCTCCGGCGATCCTTCCGCTCAGCCTTCCAAGTAGCTGGAACTACAGGCTCGCACTACACGCCTGGCTAATTTTTTAATTTATTGTAGAGACGAGGTCTCGCCAAGTTGCCCAGGCGGGTCTTGAACCCACGGGCTCATGTAATCCGCTCACCTCAGCCTCCCAAAGCGTGGGATTACAGGCTGAGCCACCGAGCTCAGCTGATAAATAATTATTAACTATGTGATAAGTGTTAAAATGGAGGTTTGGCTGAAGAACACAGAGGTAGGGTACAAAACCCAACTAAGTACAGGGGTCTGGAGACCTGGAAGGCTTTCTGGAGAGGGTGATTCTCTGTTCCTCTACTTACTGGTTGTGCAAGTTTAAGTTTCCTGATTTGCAAATGGAAGTGAAAATAACAGCCTTGCAGATTTGTCATAAGAATTAGTAATGAAAAATATAAAGCATTAACACAGCTCCTGGCACGTGGTAGGTACACAGCTAATGGAATCAATTTTTTGAATTCAGATTGTATATTTTATCAGTGATGTAAAATTTAATTGACAAATGTTCATTGAGTGTAGCCACTTGATGTGTTAAGTATGACACTAGTAATATTTTTTAAGTCTCTTTTCAAAGAATTTATAATCCTCAAACTAAATAGAACATGCCATAAGACAGTTAAAATAGTGTTAAAATATTTAAATAACATTAGAACAGTATAAGAAATATCTCAAGGCAATATACAATTAATTGGCAAGTGGATTTTACATGAAGTGATTTCTATAGATGTTAGTATGAAAGAGAAATTACTTCATGCTGGTGTGTCTAGGATTTTAAAATGAGGTGGGATATCTATTGAGATTTGAAGAATGATTTGAGAAAATCATAGGGGGCAAAGTAAATGATACAAATCTTTAAGGATACATAATGGCATAAGCAAAAACTCAAGTGCAGCAAGGGATAACACATGTTGAGAGTAAATTAGCAATTGCACTTTGTCATTTTTAGCCTGCTTCTTCTGCACAGCTTTTAGAAGTAGCACTAAGCAATATACTGTGGCTGGAGATGGGTGGTGCATGAGGGAGGAAAACACCTTGAAGCAGTCTTTTGAAATAAGTGATGGAAACCACAGTTCTGTTCTATAGCTGGTGTAGCTATCCTTTCCAAGACTAAAATATCCACCATCAGAAAAGATAAAGAACTTCGAAAAAAAAGATGGTATCCATTTTAATGCAATTATATCGTATAATACTTATTTTAATACTAGAATAAACACTGTTATTTGTATTTTTTCTGATCTGAGTGATTTGGCTTTTTCACTGTTTGCAGGGCATACCAGGGCCACATGGAAGTCCTGGGTTACCTGGATTACCAGGTCCAAAGGTACGTGATTACTAATGAGTATCATATGATTTTCCTGACATTTTGAAAGATGGTCCTTAACTTTTTAAGCCATTGAGCATCCCTGTCATCTCCAGAGCATGATTCTTCAAGAGAATTGTCTTAGCTTGGCACAGAACTAGGTTCCTCTGAGAACCCACCACACTTAGATTTATATATTGAGTGGTCAAGTTAGGTTCAGGCCTGCCTTGGTATTTCAGAATCTTTATTGTCAAAATATTATGGAAATATATGGAAACTGTTTAAATAGACAGATTATGATTTGAGACATTTACTTTAAATTAAGAACATTTTAATTTGTAAATAAACACCGAGAAATAAAATACTTATTTCCCTACTTCACACATCTCTAATATTTTCACTTGAAAAAAAATCCGTGAGGATGCTTATAGGATGGTCAAGTTTTTATGAAAATAACTAACTTGAAAAAAATATATGTATGAGTGTACATAGTTGCATGGTACACAATAGTGTAATAAATAGTAATATGAGTATAGAAAAAGTATGGAGGAATACAGACCAGGCTGGTTGAATTGAGAAGAAGTATGTATGGGAATGGAGAGATCATCAAATATTTCATTCATGTATACATGTATATACTCTTAGTTTATTCAGAACTAAATACCATACATAAATACCATAAATACCACAAACTGGGTAGACTGGGTAATTTATAAACAGAAATTTATTTCTCACAGATCTGGAGCCTGGTAAGTCCAAGAAAGCAAAGCACCAGCATTTTTTATTCTACTGAGGGCCTGCTTTCTGGTTCATAGACAGTGCCTTCTGTGTCCTCACACTGCATTCTCACACAGTGGAAGAGACACTAGGTAACTCTCTGGGAGCTCTCTTATAAGGGAATCAATTCCAATCATGAGGGCTCTTCCCTCATGACCTAATCACCCACCAGAGTCTTTACCTCCTAATACTATCTCCTTGTGGGTTGGAATTGCAACATATATATTTTGGAAGGACACAAATATTCAGACCATAGTATATATCTTTAAATCATTTTATTGCTTCAATGACCAAGTATAAGTTCTTTAATAATTTAATTAAGGAAATTAAGTATCTTAGTCCATTCAGGCTGCTATAACAACAACAACAAAATACCATCAACTGGGTAGTTTATAAACAACAGAAATTTATTTCTCACTGTTCTGGAGCCTGGGAAGTCCAAGATCAGGGTACTAGTGGTTTTGGTGTCTGGTGAGGGCCTGATTTCTTGGTTTATAGATGGCTGTCTTCTTGCTGTTTTCTCACATGGCAAAAGTGGTGAGGGAGCTCTCTGGATCTCTTTTATAAGGACATTAATCCCATTCATGAGGGCTCCACCTTCATGACCTAATCACTTTCCAAGGGCCCCATTTCCAAGTACCATCACACTGGGGATTAGACTTTAACATATAAATTTTGAAGGAAAAATATTCGATCTATTGCATCAAGATAAGAGGGAAAGAAAAAAGGGTACATGTGGGTGATAAAAGAAGTTGGGGAACAGATTAGAGAAGCATTAGGATCTTGGTTGCCAGTAATTTCATGAATTTGTTAGGGTTTTACCCCTCTACTTCTTAATGATCACACTCAGAAGTAAACATATAACTGAGATGGGGGTAAGAAGAGAGGTTTTGGAGTCTGACAGATTTGGGGTGTCTCTTATTTTTCTTTCTCTTCTACTCCAGCCTGTTGTGAATAGTCATGGACTTTTAAAATGCATAACTATTAATTTCTTCTTGCCACTGCATAACTTAGAAATGCATGTTAAATACCTAAAGAAATTGGTTTCATAAAATCAAACACTATGAGCTTTATTTGATACATATGAGACACTGTGGTAATTTTTTTAAACACCTGTCATAATCTACTATCCTCCACAAATATGTGCAGTCAATTCATGGTCCATTTTGGCTATTCTGGACACAGTTATCAAATTGTTAAATATAAATTAAATACTGGTGTTCAGGTGTATAAGATTAAGTTTCCAAGGAGTCTAATTGCAAGTGGCGAGAAGAAATTGATTCCATTAAGAGACTTCTTTCTTGATAGCAATGTTGCTATTTCAGCATAAAAACAAATAAAAAAATATGGAAAATAGGGTGAAGAAAGATGAAGATAGAGATGGCAGAAACTCTTTTGTTTTGTTGACTGTTTAAAATGTGTGTATACATTGAGGGGAAAATATCTTGAGACTATGAAGAGCTTTGTATCAAATGAAAATTACCCTGTCCCGAGATTAAAAACATCAAGGTGATGAATATACTAGTTACCCTGATTTGATTACATGAATGTATCGAATTATCATATGTACCCCAAAAATATGTGTCAAAATGTTTAAAAACAGGAATTTTTATGTATTGTTTAATATTATGTGTCTTGGTAAAATGATCTAGAACAGATCATTTGAGAGAGAGTGCTGAATCCTAACCACTAGACCACCAGGGATAGAACAGATAATTTTAATCGCAAGTCTTTAATATTGTATTTCATAGTATGGATTTAATTTTGACCATTTATAACTATTCTATATGATATTTTATGAACCCATACATGAGGAATTTAAAAAATCTACCTTTATTTCTCAAGCAATTAGACCTCTTGGAAACTTAATCTTATACACCCGAACACCAGTCTTTAATTTATATTTAACAATTTGATAACTATGTCCAAAATAGCCAAAATGGACCATGAATTGACTGCACATATCTGTGAAGGATAGTAGATTATGACAGGTGTTAAAAAATTACCACAGTGTCTCATATGTATCAAATAAAGCTCGCAGTGTTTGATGTCATGAAACCAATTTCTCTAGGTATTTAACATGTGTTTCTAAGTAATTAGGATTAATAGAACATTCAAGCTTTATATTTTATAATCCTCTTATATCTGATATCTGCCAATTATTTTATGTATGGCATCTCATTTAGTTATATTCATTCAAGAGTATAATGAGAGTAGGCTTTATTACTTTATGCTTTGCACAGAAGAAAACACTCAAAGAAGAAAGCACTTAATCGAGGTAACAGTCTGTAAATGGAAATGTTGAAATCAAAATTAGATATGTCTTAGTTTTTTCCTTACACAATGTTGTTTCTTCCAATATAGTGAAGTTTTCTTTTATAAAGTACAGCATTAAAGAGAAAGAGTAGAGGTAGGGTTACCTAACTTAAGACTTTCTGAATTTACTTAATAATAGCAACAAAGTAGTTCTATTCCAATGTTTCAGCTTATTCTGTGGATAATAATAATAATATATAAACTTCGTGAAGAGTAAACTGATCTCTAGTCCTTAAGAATTATGTGGTTAAGTTGTCAGATAATAGAAGAATAAAGTGCTACACAAAAATTTAGGGAATGTATATAGCATTTTTTCTCAGCATGTAAAACTAATCTGATTTTATATTGAGAAAGATTATTATTAGCCGAAATAATTAGGTGCACTCAGGTGATTTATGTAGAAATAATGTCCTTCGGGGGTAAAAATATCACAAGAAAGTAAACCACACTTCCTTTTTGCTAGGAAGAAAGATTTTTTTTCTTGTCATCAAATGCCATCTGGTCCATAATTTATTATATTTATCTATTAAATGAACTACAGTTTTCTTTATTTGCAGAGTGACAGAAATTTTTATTGCTAGTAATTCAACACATATTAAATTATGCTGTAGATCTTTGAACATGAGTAATAAATAAACTCAGAGTCTACATCTTCAGGTTACCATGTACTTACAATTCTAGTCCAGGCAATCTGTTTGTAGTCAAGATAATTCCTTTCCCAAAAAACGCTTCTTAGAGGAAACTTAAAACCTCTCTGCAAAGAGTCATAGTTTACATTACTTTAGTCAGGGTCAATCGTTCCTTCTAATTTAATCCAACTAAATGAAAACATCTAGCTTTAATAAACTGCAATAGCAATGTCTCATTAATATTAAATATTGAACACCAAAGAGTAATATCTTGGTGCTATATTCTATCCCTAGTTTTGACCCTATGCCTCCATGTCTATGTTATATATTTCCCTTAACTAGAAGTGCTATTTTTCCTTGCATGGGGATTAAATAAATGTATTAACTATACATGCTGACCTACTCTAAGAATTTTTTACTGCATCAGATTCCATTATTAGTGTAAAGAATGGTAAAATGCCAGACTGAGGTGCTCCTCTTCTTCCAGACAGCGTAGGGACCTCCTTGGAAGGGACTGGGCAAGATAATATGATCCTTTCCTTTGATTCTGTATTTATGAGTTCACAGTTAAAATGTGACTTAAGTATGCTAAAAATACTTCCTCCTGGTTATCATGGAGGTGTCATGTCAAAAGGATTCAAGTGCAAACTTGAATAGCCAGAGATTGGTGTAATTTGAGCATCATTAAGAATAACTGCAGGGGATTCAATCATATCAAATATCTCTAAACTCACGAGTTATAAAGATGAAAAAAAAAATACAAACTCTCACTGATCACCTTTAGATGATGTAATTGAATTCTCAGATCATTCAATTCAATTCTGACACCAACTACCCAGAGTTAGCAGCAGATGTCACAGACTTTAGGTCTAAGTCTCACAAGACTATCTACATTTCAGACACCAGCTAAAAATGAGATGCCCAAGCCGGTTTCGGTGGCTCAGCCTGTAATCCCGCGCCTTTGGGAGGCTGAGATGAGTGGATTGCCTGAGCCCCGGGTTCAAGACCCTCCTGGGCAGCGAGACCTCATCTCTACAATAAATCAAAAAATCAGCCGGGCGTGGTAGTGCATGCCTGTAATTCTGGCTACTCGGAAGGCTGAGGCGGAAGGATCGCCGGAGCCCAGCAGGTCGAGGCTGTGGTGGCCGGGAGCGGCCACTGCACTCTAGTCTGGGCGACAGAGTGAGACTCCAACTCAAAAAAAAAAAAAAAAAAAATGAGATGCCCAGACCACCTACACTTCTGCCTGGGAAAACAACAAACTCAGGAGTTCCCATGACCCACTCTCCCAGATTCAGT